ACAACAATATCAATTTGGGTGATTTAGGAAGAGAGGGCCGGGATACATAACAAAGCGGTTAACTGACGCCGAAATATTCGGGTACATTGAAATTCGAAATGAAATGGAATAATTTATTAATAAAAGGTGGATGCTATATTTCTTGTAGGAAGCTTGACTTTCCCTTCATTGTCAAGTTCATTGGGACATCACTGCTGAATGATGGCGATCGATTACGGGTGATCCATGTTATGGAAATTTGCGAGGAAAACTTGATGAATCACATCTTTCAGAATCCTGAAAATGTACCTGTATCGTTCGCTATATCTACCGCCAAGAAAAATGTACTGTGCTGGGCAAAGGACATAGCTGCAGCTCTAGAGTTCATACACAACAAGGGTATTGTTCACCGCGACCTGAAGCTGGAAAAAATTCTGGTGAGTTTAAATTGGTCTAAGCTCTTTTTTCAAGGATTTAATTTATACAATTGCTTGGATTTCAGTCCGCTTATGAGGATCAGTTCATTTCTAATTAACTACTATAGTAATCAATCGATAAAGATATGTTTATTATATTTCATGTATTGGTTCATTGTAAAAACGTTCGGATATAACACGCGTTGTCATTGTGTTGCGGAAATATTGTGCTCTATCATAGTGCAAAACACGGAGCTGAGCTGAAGCTGTCACGACATGAACTATGTCCGACTATTTCCAGCTTTTTTGCTAATATTAAAAGTGAAATTTCGGAACAAACGAGCCAACTTGTAGTTTCTTGTTCAAAAATAAAACAGAACAAAACAGGAATGTTGAAAAAATATGACCAAACCGTTTAGAAAATGGAAAGTAACGTCTGCCAGGAAAAGTTAACGGATTTTATATTAGAAAACAAATAGAGAAGCCTTGACTGTGCTCTGTTCTGTTGTAGAGCACTTAAGAAGCGGCTAGAGCACTCAAGAAGTGGGGAGAAACACTTCTTTCCTGCTCTATTCGCCTCCTGCGTGCTTTACAAAAGAACGGAGCACAATCAAAGCTCCTCTTTTTGCTAATTAATATCCGTTTAAGTGCACATGGAATTAACTGATTAAGGTGTCATGAGACGAATAGCGAGTGCTCCACGTTTGATTTTGTAGAGAGGGCCCGAAAAGATTTTCCAGATAGGACATCTGCGTTCATTATTAACCTCTTTTCATAGCTTTCACAAAGAAGTGTCGTTAAGGTCTCCGGTTTTCACCTTTCTGAAGACACTAAGATGATCATTGACACGTTGACGGGAACCGATGCCTACCTCGCCCCGGTAAAGATCCTTTACGAGGCCGACATATACAGCTTTGGTATAATGCTTGCTTTGGGAGATGTGGTATGGTAAGAGAGCTCCCCTTGATGAAGAAGGACATGTGTCGGACAAGAGACCTTCATTTGTAGAAGGCGCCACGAAGCCTCCAACTGACTGGCAAGATCTAATGCTGCGTTGCTGGGATGGAGAACCGCACAACCGACCAGATGCGGCAGGGTGTCACAAGGTGTTGACTGTCCTCTCCCAAGAAGTTTGCGCACCATCTCTATGAACTCTGGTTATTAGGCAGCCATATTAGACGTTTTTTATATTTAATGGTAGAATTACTGGGAAAAAACAGCCATTAACAGTCAGATAACAAACTCGTTCTGATTGCCATAGTAAAAAAAGAAGAGAAATACAGGGCAACATGCGTTATGATAGCATACAATACGTGGTAGACAGAAGTACCCACAAAAACATCTCTAA